TCTGCTCAGACACTATAAAGCTAATCCATGCTGTGCAGTGGCAAATTGTAATGTTGAAGCAACTCAGCCGTGCACTTTGGAACCAGAAACTAAATCAGAAGAAGAGTCCAGATACAGAAAGCTCCAAGCTGCAAACCGACAAGATCGCTTCACTGTTTTTGTGACGACGTTTTGGAGACACGCAGCAGTTTCGAGGCGGAAATGCTCATTTGTCAACATGTTTCCTGCTTATTCCACTCATGATACGTCTTTTTGCATTGAAAATAAATACATAAAATAAAATAATGGGCATATTTACAAGGTAAAAAACTCGATTGTTCCTGGAGGGAGTCTTGAACTGTGTGTGTCACATGTGCTTCGATCTGGTTTGTGAAACAACCAGTGCAGTGACAAAGCCGACAGCCCTCTCACAGCCTAAGATAGAAGCTCTTTCTGACTTGGGTCAGCGCTACACCCATCATAAAGGACCCCGCTGCTGAAAGGTAGTCAGCCTGAAGTGACTCTAAAATACCTCAATTTTAGGCCTCCAACGAAATCCCAGTACTTCACCGACAAAAATGCGACTCTCAAAAACGACTCTAAAGGGAAGCAGCTGGCACAGTTAGAAGAACTTGTCATTTTTCTGCTCCAAAACGGTTGGTGGATCGCTGCAGAGACGCGATGCCAGAATCAACAAACTACTATACGGTGGGTTTCTCCCAAGACAAACCAAATCAGCAGCCACGGGAGGCAGCGACGGGCCCAAAGAGTCGGGGCCAAATGATCAAAATAGCTAATTAGATTAAACACTGATTTACTCCTGGCAAAATATTTCACCCCACGTGTCACAAACCGCCTCAAAATATGTGATAATTAGAGTCCAATTAAAGAGCCAATAAATGAGATTTTTTCTTCTTCTTATGAGTGAAAACATTAAAACGAGGATATTTACTGCAGAGAAGGAAGGAAGCATCCGGATGTGTGTGTGCAGGTTGTAAATGTCTGTGTCAGTGTGTGTGCTGCGTATAGGTGTAGTACAGGATGTGCAAGAGCATAAAATACTGGAAGGTAAGTGTAAGAATGAAATTTCACACCTTGGGCTTTTCCTTTTTTTTCTCCCTCCTCTAAAAATAGCTGCTCCGTTTTTTTTTTTTTTTTTTTCCTGCTCAGTTTTTTTTTTGTTTTTCTTTTTTTTTTTGTCTCTGCTGCTGCCTGTTTAGTTCCGTCTTTATCAGGTGGAAGTTGGCATATTTCTCTGACAAGCAATTTCAAAGATAGCATCTCAATTTCAGACTGGCGCGTGGCATCTCCGGAGATGGCCCCCTGTTCTGCCGGGGTCATTTCACAACCTGTAAAACGATTTTCTTACACCAGCAGCAGCTTTATTCCGCCGGGGACTGATGTCTGGCCGCCATCATTTCAGATGACTAATGTCTTATCAGAAGCGCGTGTCAGCGGCCGTGTAAGCTGTCCCACTTTCTCGCCGCGCTTGAACGTCGCCAACAGCCGCCGTTAACTCGCCGCCGACACCTTGCGGTCTATTGACACGGCAGAGCTGGGCATGGATTTCCGAGAGGCGATAAGACCGACTGTGTCTGGCCTCGGCGTTGCTTTGTTATCGTAAAGATAGGAATGGAATCTGTTTCCAAGTATGCGGAGGAGGCGGAAAGAGGGAGTGAAGCGCTGTGTTCGGTGCATCAGATTTAAAAAAGTATGAAGGGTTGCACTCGTAACCTCTCGTGTAAACTGAATGCGAGCTGGAAAAATCTAGAGGACCTCCATGCAAAGAGGACGGATTAGGAAGAGGTTTGTCGTTGCCTGTTGAGGCAGCGCAGCCCGGAGGTCGGGTTTCAGTCTTCGCTGAGCTCAAATGCTTTTAGGAGAATAGAGCGAGGATTTGAAATGTTGGCGAGCTGCAAAGGACTCCTGTGTCTCTCGCCGACGTCGCTGCACACTCGGAAACTCTAAACCTCCGTTCAGCTTCACGTGCGAGTGGAGGTCACGGTCGAGCCGCCAGCCTGGGAACGCTGGCAGCCGGCGCTGGGACCAGTAGCTCCGAGGAGCAGCAAACAGAGTGTGTCAACAGAGGAGGCGTTTCCGTTTGACCGGGCCAGTGCCGCGTAAAAGCCCAGCTGGGATGATATGATGACTTAATGCATTCTCAAGTACCCCGACTTTTGCGCCGGGCTATTGTGGGACTGATAGCGTGCGAGGAGAGAAAACACGGCGCTCGTGTGCCACATGATTGCCTTTAAAGCAGGAGCCACTTAAAGGAGGTTTTTCGGGACATTTTCTCCGCCTGAAAAGGTGTGAAATGGAGTCGGTGCCGTACAGAGATATTCACTCGCTGATACAGTACCGCCGCTTATTACAACGTTTTAGAGTTTGTTCACCGTTTCACAGGCGACTGAATGGAATGGTTTGATATTTTGGGAAATGTGCTCATTTGCTTTCTTGCTCGGGGTCAGACGGGAAGACCGATAACGCTCTCATCTCTGTGATTGTGAAGCTCAGTGTAGCTAACGGCTAACACGCAGGAAAGCAGCTCGACTCGTGCAAGGTTTGATTCAAGTGAAGGTGAAGATTTACTAATAAAGCAAAGTGTTGTGCAAATAAAATGGCAAACCCAATTACTGAAGACAAATCTGAATAAAAAGACGTCACAATAAGAGGCGAAGTCAGGGTGTCACACTTGAAGACAAAACCACCGACAGGAAGTGGATCTTCAGCAGCGATTTAGAAGTTTCTAAAGCCTGAGCAGTTCTTACCTGAGAAGCTGAGTGGCTACTGTGAGGACTTCATTTACTTTTGTTCGTGGATCTCGGATCATCCAAAAGCATCTGGTTCCTCGGTGCTCCAACCAAAGTATGGAGACCGAAGAGTTCTGCTCAATAAGTGGCGTCAACCTATTTGAAACCAAACTGGAATCTCTTCCTGTTTAAAAAGACAAACCAGCAGCTACGTTTTGTACCACCTGAAGGCTCAGAAGATGTAAAGATTTACAGCCGTTCACCTGAGTGGTGATAAAGACACCAGTTGTTTCGAGATAGATTGGCATTCACCTTGGCTGGAAGTCTCATATAAATAAATAAAAAAGACAGTTTTGGCCTCTGAGCTGATCTGTCTGTCAAATTTGAAGGAGCTGTCAAAAATCACTTCAAGGTTCTTCACAGAAACATCGATTTTATGAAACAAAAGGCTCAAGGGTGCCGTCGGGGTCGTGTTAAAGGTCTGGCTGACCAAACACAGCAATCTCAGGCTTATTTATATGTATAAGTGTGAGAACATTGAGATCCATCCAACAGATTCTCGAAGAAGATTCTACAAAACAATGAAAAAAGGAATCTTATGTCTTAAACATGGATCCCAAAATGGCGCCTTCAGTCAAAGAATAATCAAGACCATCCGTCAGATATGATGTGATCAATGTGAGGACAATACCTTCGATGCCCCTGCACTGTTCAAGACATGACATATGGATCCATAGTAGCAGCAGTCAGGTGTCGGGGCGTCAGAATCAACTCAGCAAGAGAAGATCTTCAAACACTCTTGAAAGAGCTGAAAAGTGCAACCGCTACTTTCCTCGAGGTTAGCTACTCTCCTGGGTTTCCACCTCATCTGCAGCCACTGCAAGACCCCTAACTAAAAAAAAACAAAGCATAACACCTTTAGGGGCATCATGCATTGCAGGGTTCTTTTATTTGTTCATGAAGGCGTGCATGTGTTAACACCTGCTCTACCTGCTTCACTGATGGTTACTACAGTCCGGGCTTTCATGGTAGCAGCTAGAACTCTGGAATAACCTTCATCCTAAAATCTAATCAGCTAGAAATCTCAAGACATACATTTTCAAGTGGCTTGTGGGTGCTCTTAGTGGTCGTAACATTTCAGTATTTTGTGTTTCTTTTATTTGCGAAAGTTGAATTTAACATGTTTTATGTCTGGTTTTCTTTTGCATATACAACACGGTCAACTCAGGTCGTCTTAAAGCGCGATATATATATAAATAAAATTTGATGTTGCAGTCGTGGAAGTGGATGAGCAGAGAAGCCAGCGGGCCAATCCAGAGATGCGGTAGTTTGGCAGGTTGAGGGAACGGCGGCGCGCCGAGTCGGTGGCTGGCGTGTCGCCGGGCTGAGCAGAACAGACGTGGCAGGCGGTGGCAGGACTCGAGCAGAGCTAATGGGCAGGTAACACGGAGCGACTGGAATACTGATGCACAGAGAGCAAGAGAGAGAGAAACACGAGGAGCAACAGGTTGCCGAGGCTGGATTCGGCAGTAGTCGTTAGCGCCACATGGCAGCCTGAGCAGACAGGGAGGTGTCGGACCGGGGCTGCTGGCTGGGGCCCGGCGGTTCGATGAGTAGCAGGTGTGCAGGTGGATCGGCAGCCAGGGGATAATTGAGAGCAACACAAAAACAGAGACACAATCACACAGAGAGGGAGGCAAACAAGAGACGCCGCAAGGAAAGAGAAAATGAAGGGAATGAGGGAGTGAGCACAGATCCTCCATCCACCAGATAAGCTGCACATCGCTCATATAGGAGATATAAATAAAACCTCGTGTTTCTTCGTTCGTTGTTCTGCAGAACTGACGCAGGAGGTCGTTTAGGTGGTGCTGTCATTAGCACTCAGCAGTTTGCGCACATCAACCCACACATTTGCTCTGTGACCTCGCAAGTCTGTCAGTGATCAAATTCAGCTTTTTCCCCTCGTCTTTTATCTGCATCCAAGGCCAGCTTCCCCTCTGTTGTAGGTGAGCAGATAAAAGAAGAAAGACGAGGGCTTCTCCGTTGGGGGCTTTCTGCTGCATTTGAATGTGTTTTTGTTGCAGAAAGAGAAGCTACAAAAAACTGCTTTTCCACATGTTTTCTTGTTTGATTGTGGCGCCGCTCTCTCATGGCTAACGGCCGACAGCCGGTGATGGATGAAGCGCTGTGAGAGTGTGGCAGTGCTGTGCTGACCGGTGGTCTCCTGTGTGCCGCAGGGTTCCGGTGGAGCCGAGGAGGTGCCGTCTCCGGACCCGTGCCCGTCCCAGCAGCCCAGGGTTCAACACAGCTTCGTCCAGGAACATTTCCAGGCTCAGTACAAGTGAGGTTCTGAACACACGACACCTGCTCGACATCTGCTAGAAATGAAACCTGCATTAGCAACAAGTCCACAGCTTAAGTCTTGGTGGGAAAAAAACAAACAAACCTGCATTTCAATGTTTAGTTTTTTAGCAATATTTATAGCGATATGAAATAAATACAGGATTTTTCACTATTTTAGGTCCCAAAGCGTCTCATTTACAGGCTGCAGTCGTATAAATAATTAACCCTTACACACTGTTTTGAGATTTGACAGCATTAAAAACACCCTAAATGTCTTTCTTTTAGCCTGAAAATTCTCCTAAAGTGACCCAGAATACACAAACATTTTAATAAACTGTATACTTTTGTACAGGTGCTACAAATGTTTGACTGTTTAGGGTCAGATGTGAGCCACATATCCACTGAGATGGATTGTAGATCTACTAGTGTGGGTCAAATCAAGGAACATGGAGGTTTTAGGGAATCCTGAAACTGTGAACCTGTCCAGGCCATGTTTTATGTGTTTTATATTTACATTTATTAATGTGACATCAGCTGTTTAGTAGGGCTGGACCTGAACACCTGAATATCCAAATATTGGGTCGTTGTGGTGGTTTTCAGATATCAATTTAGTTTACCTGTTTTTTTATTGAAGGAGCACAACTGTGTCTCTTTAATGAGTAATTCTTAACCAATCACCCTTCAGTTACCATGTTAAATATTTTTTTATCCGGTTACTTTCTGCTTTCGAGGATTATTTGCTAAATGGATACTCTTATTGAACTGTGACACATGACGAAGACACTTGCTGTGATCCTAGAGGCACAAGAAGCCAGACGTCGGGGAGATTCTGGTGTAGCTGAGGCTGTACTAAAGGTTGATGTAACAGCACTGGTTTTAAATATATCTGTGTGGTTGCCAGCCATCAGGCAGGTTTAACTGTTGGAAACCTCATTCATTCAGTGCTGCAGAGAGGATCAGTGCTTATGAAGAGGTTGTGCTGGTTGTGAAAGCAGAAGTGACTCAGCTCCAGATTCCCTGGAAGTGTCTGGCTGGATGTCTGTGCTCTTTATCTGTCTGATGTACAGTAAATGACGACAGCGTTTTTAAGAAGAAAGAAGACATTTGGCCAAAAGTGATTCTATCTACAGTCGACCCTTAACAATCCTAAACCTGCTATCCGACAGGTTTT